GTGTGTGAGAGAGAGAGAGAGAGAGAGAGAGAGAGAGAGAGAGAGAGAGAGAGAGAGAAAGAGCACTCGCACTATTGTTTTCTGTCGGTTGCAAGTGTCAGTTTTTCGTGGAAAACGTCTGCTTCATTGGCAGGGTACTTCGACTAAATCTCAAAAACAAAAGAACAATAAAAACGTAATACACAACTGGCCATGATTGTGGGTAGATGCATCTTGAAGTAGAACGTGTGTGAGCACAAGGGCCTCACTCCACTACTATAGAAATGTGAAAAACGAGAGTGAATCCTCCTCTAGAACATGGAAAGATACACCCCATGTTATTTGGATAGTAGTGGGGTGAGGCCCCAACTCCCTTGTGGCCTCCAACTCCATGTTTTGCGGGTCTTTTTTTTTTGTTTGTTTTTGCTGACCACTCGGCTGACAACAAGTCCTCTATTCACGTCTTTTACGGCTCCTCTGCCAGTAGCAGAGTGCCCAATGGGAAAAATGGAAAACCACAAGAATAAAACATAAAAGGAGGAAAACAAACGCAAAAAAAAAACACAGCACAGAAGTACTGGTCGCCCGTGCTGAGGGACCGGTAGCTCCCCATATCACGAGCACTTACCAGTTGTATTCCCATGAGACAAAGAGGTTCGTCGCATGGGAAAAAAAAGTTCGGTAAAGTGCTCCGGAAGGTACTGGTGGTTTAATGCGCCGCAGCCTTAGGGGCTCAGCCAAGGGAAGGTCCGCTCGTTGCTGAATGGTCGGGCCCCAATTCATTCGGCATAACACAAAAGAAAAAGAACAAAGAAAGAAAAAACAAAAATCAAATACACAAAGATGAAAAAAAAAAAGAAAACCAAAGAAAAAAAACTAATTACGTTAGAGGGAAGGAGAGAGAGAGAGAGAGAGAGAGAGAGAGAGAGAGAGAGAGAGAGAGAGAGAGAGAGAGAGAGAGAGAGAGAGAGAGAGAGCGTTGAGCAACGAGGACGCATCTTCCCACAAAAGTGGGAAGACTCATTCTCGTTTTCGTTTTTCGAAATGGGAGAGAGAGAGAGAGAGAGAGAGA